AAGAGCTAATACTAAGGTACTATTAGCTCTTGATTATATGTATGGCTGCAGTACATACATGTAAAAGTACATGATGTGCGGTGGCACTACATAATATCAAGAGCGTATTAAGCGTATTATCCTTCTTAATACGCTCTTGATAATATCAAGAGCTAATAATAATACCTTAGCTATAAGAGCTAATACTAAGGTACTATTAGCTCTTGATAATATCAGGTGATCATATCCTGATAATATCCTGGTGATAATATCCTGGTGATAATATCCTGATAATATGCATGGTGGGTGGCGCACAGCCGGAGTAGAGGCACTGTGCAATACAGTTAAACCGGTGCCACACATACACACGGGTGCCTGACCCGTGTTTTCGTTCACAAGCTTCAAGGTAACGTGGACTCCTAACAGCAGATGGAAATAGACTATCCACGGCAATGCTGGGATCACGGACCCACGGACGGACGCGCACACACACATACACTCACGCGCACACAAGGTCAACAAATTTACCGCAAAAATTTACACAAAACATCTCAAATATATATAAATAATAGAGGCGATTTTATACTAGATTACGCATTCATGCAAGCGCATATATACAGAATCGGCGCTAATGAAAAAGGAGATATATCCGAGATGTATGCACAGCCGATCAAGTCGCTGAATACGACAAGCAGACACGTTTTACGAATATGTCATAAAAGCGAGACGAGCGCAGCGAAGCAAACATTTCGGTCTATACACTTCTCTCGTCTCGCGCGATTAATCTAGCACTAGCAGTTATCAATCCATTGCTAACTATCCATCTAGATCCACTACTAACTAGCGCTAACCAAATGCAAACTGCTCTTGCAGTGGGATGCATTTCACGTAAAAGCGTGCAGATTTCGATCGAGTCGCCACAGTGCTGGCCAGCGGATTTCGGGGTTTCGTGAACGCGGCGACAGAGAAACGGCCGGATGTGAGAAGCCCACCGGCTGATGCGCAGCCTCCGACGCGGCTCGAGTGAGAGGATGCTAAATCTTTCTGCAGCCAGATGTATCTGCGGCTCGCGGCGCGTGGCGAGGCATGTCCGCACAACGCGCCATCTCGCAGCGTTTTTGGCTGGGAAGGTTGGGAACGAGTTTTTCGCAATTTTCTAGATGGCATGTGCACTTAAACAGCGACTAAAGGCCTTTTAACAAGCGGGCAGCCGATCAGAGGCATTTATCGTCTGATGCACATTTTATCGTCTGGTAAAGCCTTAGGAAGCCATGTGCAGAATATAGACTTAAATTCTTTGTGAGCATTCCCTTCAAATAAAATAAAATCTAACTGAAAAGTGACAACATACTGGATAGTGCTAATATACCGGTGGCGAATAAAATTCGTAGGGATTTTGCCGTTGCAATATCAATACGTTGGAAGCAGCGAATATGCTCTTCTATATAAATCATGTCAGCATATATGCCACACTAGTCGTGAAGGTATTAGTTCCAACTGCAAAAGCATGCATGTGGATGCTTTCCCATGCATCTTTCTTGGGCAGCTAGACTTCAGATATAAATCAGTGACGCAAAGCAGAGATGATCAGCACACAGACTGACGCGAAGTCCCTCGACTCGCTCCGCACACTACCTCACTGCTACCTCACTGCTGCTATCTACCTACAGGCTGGTCCAGCGCACATACGTGGGGGGCAGTCTAACCAGACACTGACTCACATGGGTGTGATCGGTGGCGGTACATACCAAGCATGATATCACACGCAGGGAGCAGCCTCTCAACACGTGCGAATATATTAGTTACTCCGACTTCCACTGCATCACATCGCAAAGTCACCAGCCTTCGATAACCGTTTAGATTTTAGTAGGCATAGATGGTAGATAATTGATTAAAATAATTTAAGTTTTCCAGAAGGTACTAATGTGACTGTCGGCGAGAGTTTCAACGCCAGGTAGGGCACACACGACTGACCTTGGCATTGGCAGATATTCCACCAAGTTCTTCAACCAAGATGTCTTTCACTATAACAGATTATGTAAAAACTGTTAAAGAAAAAGCATCAATGGGCGAGCAGCACTGATAGCCCATGACTTCAACATAATCTTTCCATCAGAGTTCTTCCGATTCTGCTCCCACAGTTGAATGCGAATTCCTTTTCCTTCGTAATTAAAAAAACAAATTCCAATTAAAACTGTTTAACTAATTACTAATAAATTAACCCGATGGTTAACGGCCGTGG